GAGACGAACCCTTGGGTGTCTGTGAGTTCTGAGAGGCATTACAGCGAAATACAGAACCCTAAGACTGGGGAAATTACTGGGAGGAGGAGGAGGAGGAGTTAATGTCTGAAATGATGGAGTGGCATGGTAGTTTGGATATTTGGGACATCTTTGACCTCCGCCTCATGGGGACCGGCCTCGTGCTGATCTTTCTAAGAGAAATTGTTCAAGCACCATCCCATTGTCTTCTCGCCTGCATGGTTTCTGTCGAGAAATCCAAGTTCAGTCTTACTGGTTACCCCTTGTAGGTAACTTTTCATTTTTTCCGTACTACTCTCATGATTCTTCTTTGTCTTTGGTTTTGGTAAGTCTAATGATGATCTGTCTGGGTAATTTTCTTTTGGGGTCTATCCTGTTTGGGGTTCATTGGACCTCCTGAGTAGATATATTCTCATCTTTCATCATACCAGGAAAATTCTCTCCCAACAAATCTTTGACAATTTTCTCTCAGGTTTTATTTGTCTCTTCCTGTTCTGGAATTCCGATTACATATAAGTTATTCCTTTTGATCCCACATGAACCTTAGGCTTTTTTCATTTTGTTTTGCTTTTTTTTTTCTGATTGATTCCTTTCCAAAGAAGTGTTCAGGTATTTGCCTTCAATTTCCCTAATTCTGTCTTCCATTGATTCAATTCTGCTCCTTTGCCCATTCAATGTGTTATCTATTTCTGAAAATTTAGTATTAATCTTCTGGATTTCTGCGTGTAGATTTTGTATCATTTCTAATTTTTCATTTGTCATTTTGTTCTTGTATTGTGTTTTGAAATTCTTCTAGGGTTTTCTCTGTGTTTTCTTTGATCTGTCTCTCAATTAGTTGTACATACCTAAATATAATTCTTTTGAATTCCTTATCCGAGAGTTCCAATGCTCCATCTTCCTCAGGGATGTGTTTTGGGTCTATATCCTGGTCCCTTGTTTCTCCTGCTTTCTTGCTTCTTTGTATGGACTGTGATGCTCTGTTGTCTTCAAGGCATTGTGATGTTTTTGTGTTTATATTTAATTAGTGATTGTATGTTGGAGTGACTTGCCCATGATTTTCATTTTCTTTGTTTTGTTTGTATGTTATCTACGCAAGAAGGGTACCGTGCTGTGCTCCTCTATTTGCTAGTGGGCAGCATTTATACATTCACCATGTGTCTCCTTTCCTGTTGTCAGTCTCTCATATGTCCCTGCCAACCTTGGCAAACAGAATCTATTCTTAGGTCCCTGGAATCCGAATGAGAATGCTATCACTTTAAAATCCAAAGTGGTTGCTACTTGTAAAGATTGAAAATGGCTGCACCCTTAGTCACTTCAAATATCCAAAATGGCCACCGCTTGTAAATATTCAAAATGGCTGTGCCCTCAGTCACTTTAAATTTCCAAAATGGCTGCCACATGTAAACAATCTAAATAGCTGTGCCCTCCGGACAGCTGAAAGTCAACAGCTTGCTGTTTCCTTCCTAGTCACAGGCCACCAGCGCAGTCATCCCTGCAGCCCTTGGTGACTAGGGATGATCTTTAGGTCAATTTTCAGGTCCCAACACCACTTGGAAATATTCAGGCTGTTGGTCCCGTCAGAGTAGCTGACCAACCGTCTCTGTACTCACTGTTTTCATTCAGGTTTTTCTACTAGTTGGTGCCTAATCCACTTCTGTGTGGTTCTTTTCAAAGCTCAGGGCTCCAGGATTATTTTCTGTATCTCTGTCAATTGGTTTCTCTCTTCTTTGTTGAAGAGGGTGTGTCGTTTGTCTGCCTATTCCTCCATCTCACCGGAAGTCCCCCACCAGAGGGATGGTATTTCTGAAGGAAGGAATTCTATTCTTGTTACTTTTAATTAAACTATTACGTCAAGAAAATAATTTTATAGTCTAAAATAAGAACCAATTAGATCTTTTATCAAGAACATGCAATGAGAAGCTAAAACATGTCTAATTTTTTAAAAAATAAAAACTAGCAATGAAAGCCTGTTGATTAGGAACATGCTGGTAAGTACCAAAATAACCAGCCAAGAATTCAAAGCACTAGCTTGACAGGTGGTAACCAAAGACCAGAGAAAGCTATGTTTCACAACTAATTTTGTAAAACTACTTCACTCTTTAAATTACATATATGTGATAACTTTGACAAAAGTTAAAAGTAAAAAGAAAACACTAAATTACTTTATAAGTCGCTATAATCTGAATATCACAATTATTCTGGAACCTGACATTTCCATGCTTACCTTTCACCTGTCTCATTCTCTGGAAGAAGTGCCACAGCATTTTGAGGATTCCAATTTCCCAAAGCATCGCAGCTTCCACATATTGCAAAAACTTCTCCTAAGGAAACAGAACAAGCAGGTATAGTGGCCTAAGAAGGAATGTTTCCAATTTTAGTTTTAGGAAGCAAAAACCAGCAGTAAGGTGTACTAGTTCAACCAAATGCAAAATCTCCTTTACCACAGATGGACTGACTCACTGGAGAGGTGCCCAGGTACACACCAACACCTGTATGTTAACCTAACCCACCTATTCAGAACTGAAGCCAGAGAAAGGGAAGAAGGCAGAGGGATGAACTTTTTTTCATTTGTTCAACTACTTCTCAAGCCAATGTCAAGCCCATAATTCTGGGCACAATGAATACAAAGTGATCAAAGCACAGTTCTTGACTTCAAGGCAGCTTCCAATTAAAAAACAAAAAAACAAACATTTAATGCAGATAAGTATTCTAGAGAAACATTAACCAATATTTCCCAGGAGCTAAGTAGTTTATTAACAAGGTGAAAATCAAGAGAATTATTGATGGAACAGCAAAAAATATGACAAAAAAACCTCAAACCAAACACACAGATAGCGGAAAATTTACTTTTCCTCATTAAAATAATAGCTATCGTTTCAATGGTTATCATTTCATCTGAGTAAGTCTCATCAGCAGATCTTAAAAACCAACTCTGGGGTTTACAATTAAATTTATCCAAAAAATTTGTAGCCATAATTAGTGTGGAACTTAGATAACCTCTAAAATATTGGAAATCATCCCCAAGCCCTCCCTACTGAAGTGGTTTTTATCTATCATATCAGATGACCTCAGGGGGAAGAGGTATGATTCAATCAACCATGCCTACGGAATAAGGAATTAGCCCTGGTACACAGTGCTTAAGCAATCAGCTGCTGAGTTCAAATAACCAACCTTTTAATTAGCAACTGAGTGTTTAACCACTGTACCACCAGGGCTCTAACATGTAATGAGGCTCCAGTAAAGGCTCTGGACACAGAAGCTCCATGGGCTTCCTAGTTGTTGATAGACATCAATGCACACAGGACAGCAACATGTCCCTTTTTGTGACATAAACCAAAACCAAAACCAAACCCACTGCCATTGTGTTGATTCCAACTCATAGTAATCCTATAGGACAGAGTAGAACTGCCCCAACAGAGTTTCCAAGACTGTAAATGTTTATGGAAGCAGACTGACTCATCTTTCTTCCTCGTCTTTCTTCCATGGAACGGCTAGTGGGTTTCAACCTTTTGATTAGCAGCCAAATGCCTTAACCACTGTGCCATCAGAGCTCATTTTCTGTGACATGGAAGCTCTGTGTTGGGAATCTTCCCAGATCTCACCCTGTGCATCTTTTCATTTGTATCCTCTTTACTATAATAAAACTATAATCATAATACTGCTTTCCTGAGTTCTGAGTGTCACTGTAGTGAATTATCAAACCCAAGGAAGTAGTGGTATCTAACAGGTGAGAAGTTGAGAAGGGCCTAAGAACCCTCAAGCTTATCGATGACTTCCTGAGGTGGCAGTAGGATACCCCTAAATTTGTAGCCAGCAGGTCAGAAGTGAAGGTTTCATGGGGATCCACATGCTTATGACTGGCACCTGAGTCTTGGGCAGACTTCCAATCTGAAGGACTGTGTCCTTTAACTTGAGATCTACCTACTCTAGCTCAGGTGATTAGGATCACAAGAAGTGCAGCTGGGAACAGAATGGAATATATATGAATTGGACTGAAATGAACTGAAGAGATAGGCTGCATTAATTTCCCTTACAAGAAGATACAGCTACCACCTGTTGCTGTTAAGTGCAGGTGAATCAGTTCTGACATAGCAACGCCAACGTGTAACAAAACGAACCACTGCTGGGTCCTGCGTCATCCTCACTATTAATACTGTGTTTGTTACAGCCACTGTGTCAAACCATCTTGTTGTGGGTCTCCCTCTTTTTTCCTGTCTGCCAAATATGATGTCCTCTTCAGGGACTGATTCCTCCTGATAACATGTTCAAAACGCATGAGACAAAGTCTTGCCATCCTCACTTCTAAGGAGCATTCTGTCTGTGCTTCTTCCAAGACAAATTTGTTCATTTTTCTGGCAGTCCATGGTATAGTCAATATTCTTCACCAACACTGTAATTCAAATGCATCAATTATTCTCTGGTCTTCCTTATTTGTTGTCCAGCTTTCACATGCACACGAGGCAAATGAAAACACTATGGTTTCGGTCAGGTACACATGCAGCAGATTTGACCAATGCAATGTTGTTGTTGTTATATGCCGTCAAGTTGGACCCGACTCATAGTGACCCCTCCTTGGGTTTCTAAGGCAGTATCACTATGGAACTAGATTGCCCAATCTTTCTTCCAAGGAGTGGCTGGTGGGTTTGAACTGGTAGCATGGTGCCTAAGGCATTTGACTGCTAACCAGAAGGCTGGTGGTTCAAACCCACCAGCCACTCCCCAGAAGGAAGGTTGGGCAATCTACTTCCGTAGTGACACTGCCTCGGAAACCCAGAGTTGGATCTGACTCTATGGCAATGAGTTTGACCGATGCAGTATGTCACTTGATTTCTTGACTGCTGCTTTCATGCGCACTGATTGTAGAACCCAGTAAAATGAAATCCTTGACAACTTCAGTCTTTTCTTTATATATCATGATGTTGCTTATTAGTCCAGATATGAGGATTATTTTTACTTCATGTTGAGGTGTAATCCATACTGAAGGCTGTAGCCTTGCAGCAGTAAGTGCTTCAAGTCTTCTTTGCATTCAGCAAGGTAGGCTGTGTCATCTACTTATCACAGGTTGTTAATGAGTCTTTCTCCTATCCTGGTGACCCATTATTCTTCATATAGTCCAGATTCTCAGATTGTTTGGTCAGCATACAGCTTGAATATATATGGTAAAAGGATACAACACTGATACATGCCTTTCCTGATTTTAAACTAAGCTGTATTTGCTTGTTCTCTTTGAACAAGCTCTTGGTCTATGTACAGTTTCCACATGAGCACAATTAAGTGTTCAAGAATTCCCATTCTTTGCAATGCTATCCATAATCTGTTATGACCTACACAGTTGAATGCCTTTGCATAGTCAATAAAACACAGATAAACATCTTTCTGGTATTTTTTCCTTCAACCAAGATCGATTCTACTTTAGCAATGATGTTCCTCCTTCCATATCACCTTCTGAATCCAGCTTGAATTTCTGGCAATTCCCTGTCAATGTGCTACTGCAACTGTTTTTTAAATTATCTTCAGCAGAATTTTTCTTGCATGTGATATTAATAATGACATTATTTGTTAATTTTCACATTCTGTTGGACAACTTTTCTTTGAAATGATCACAAACATGAATCTTTTCTAATAGATTGACTAGATAGTTGCTTCCAAATTTTTTGGCATAGACAAGTGAAGACATCCAGAGTTGCATCTATTTGTTGAAACATCTCAACTGGTATTCCATCAATTTCTAGAGCCTTATTTTCATCAATGCCTTCAGTGCAGCTTGGAATTCAATACCATCAGTTCTTGATCATATGTTACCTCCTGAAAAAGCTGAACATCAACCAATTCTTTTGGTACAGTGAGTCTGTGTATTCCTTCCATCTTTTTTTGATGCTTCCTCTGTGATTTGATATTTTGCCCATAGAATCCTTCAATACTACAACTCAAGGCTTGAATTTTTTCTTCAGTTCTTTCACCTTCTTAGAAATGCTAAAGGTGTTCTTCCCTTTTGGTTTTCTAATTCCAGGTCTTTGCACATTTCATTAGGATACTTTATCTTTTCAAGCCACCCTTTGAAATCTTCATCATTTCTTCCATTTGCTTTAGCTACTCTCTGTTCAAAAGCAAGTTTCAGAGTCTCTTCTGAGATCCATTTTGGTCTTTTCTTTCTTTCCTGTCCTTCTAATGACCTTTTGTTTTCTTTTTATATGATGCCCTTGATGCCATCCCACAACTTATCTGGTCTTTGGTCATTAGTATTCAATGCATCAAATCTATTCTTGAAAGAGTCTCTACATTTAGGTGGGATATACTCAAAGTTGTAATATTTTCATTCTCATCAACTTGTTTCAATTTTCTTCAATTTCAACTTGAACTTGCATATCAGTAATTGATAGTCTGTTCTGCAGCTAGACCCTGGCCTTGTTCCAACTGATGATACTGAGCTTCTCTATGGTTTCTTTCCATAGATATAGTCAATTTGATTCCTGTATATTCCATTCACTGAGGTCCACATATATAGTCGCCACTTATGTTGCTCAAAAAAAAAAAAGGTATTTTTAATGAATGAGTCATTGGTCTTGCAAATTCTATCACACAATCTATAGGACCATTTCTATCACCAAAGCCATATTTCCCAGCTACTGATACTCCTTCTTTGCTTCTAACTTTGCATTCCAATCAGTAGTAAATTTCAATGCATCTTAACTGTATGTTTCGTCAATTTCAGACTGCATAAGTTGGTAAAAATCTTCAAATTCTTCATCTTTAGCATTAGTTGCTGATGCATAAATTTGAGTAACAGTCATATTAACCAGTCTTACTTGTAGGCATATGGATATTATCCTACTACTGACAGCACTGTACAAACGGATGTTTGTAGCTGTTTCTTTTCATTTGAAATCATGCCACATCTGCAAATGAAGTCCTGAAAGCTTTGCTCCATCTCCATCATTGTGGCTGACTCTACTTCAAGGAGGCATCCCCAGTCATGCTTTGAGTGCCTTCCAACCTAAGGGGATCATCTTCTAGCAGTAAATCAAACAAGGTTTTGCACTATTCATACAGTTTTTACTGGCCTATGTTTTTTTATTAGAACTAGATCACCAAGTCCTACTTCCTAGTCTCTCTTAGTCTGGAAGCTCCACTAAAACCTGTCCACTAGTGACCTTGGGAGCTCTGGTGGCATAATGCCTAAGGCATTTGACTGCTAACCAGAAGGCTGGTGGTTCAAACCTACCAGCCACTCCACGGAAGGAAGATTGGGCAATCTACTTCTGTAGAGATATTGCCTCGGAAATCCAAGAAGGGGACATTATAAATCAAATCGAATTGACAG